CAACGCTAATGTGGTAGCTGATGCGTTGAGCTGCAGGGCGGAGAGTACTCCGCTGCGAAATGTATGTTTGAGATTGACCGTGATAGCTCCAGTTCTGGATGCCATTCGTGGGGCACAGGCCGAGGCTGTGCAACCGGAGATGCAGAAGAGAGAACGGGTCGTTGGTTTGGTTTCAGAGTTCGTTTCGGATAGTCGAGGGCTTATATAACTTTTCAGGGCCGGATTTGGGTACCGTTTGTGGGCGGTACGCGTACTACTTTGATGGAGGAAGCACATAGATTGAAATTTTCGATCCATCCCGGGGCTACGAAAATGTATTTGGATTTGAGGAAAGAGTGTTGGTGGCCCTGTATGAAGAGGGACGTTGCATGGTTTGTCGAGAGGTGTTTGACCTGCCGAAGGGTTAAGGCCGAGCACTAGAGACCGCATGGCAAGTTGCAGCCATTGGAGGTTCCCGAGTGGAAGTGGGAACAGATCACTATGGATTTCATCACCAAATTGCCGAGGACTGCCAGAGGAGTTGATGCAATTTGGGTGATTGTGGATAGGTTGACGAAGAGCGCTCACTTCCTTGCCATCAGTGAGAGTTCTTCGGCGGAGAAGTTGGCGGAGGTTTATGTGAGAGAAGTGGTATCTCGGCATGGGGTGCCGATCTCGATTGTTTCGGACCGTGATGTGCGTTTCACTTCCAGATTCTGGAAGAAATTTCATGAGGAGTTGGGTACTAAACTGCATTTTAGTACCGCATATCATCCCCAGACAGACGGCCAGAGTGAGCGGACGATTCAGACGCTTGAAGACATGCTTCGAGCATGTGTGTTGGATTTCGGGGGTAGCTGGGATGCGTATTTACCCTTGGCAGAGTTTTCCTATAAAAACAACCATCATTCGAGCATCGGTATGCCGCCCTTTGAGCTGTTGTATGGTAGGAGGTATCGGACCCCCATTTGTTGGGGTGAGGTTGGGCAGAGAGTGATGGGCAGTATGGAGATCGTGATTCAGACGACAGAGCAGATACAGCAGGTCAGACAGAGGTTATTGACCGCCCAGAGCCGAAGAAAGAGTTATGCGGACAGGCGCCGGTCTGAGCTTGAGTTTCAGGTCGGCAACTTCGTTCTCCTGAAGGTTTCCCCTTGGAAAGGAGTGATTCGGTTAAGGAAGAGGGGCAAGTTGGGCCCCCGGTTTATAGGACCATTTCGTGTGATTGCGAGGGTAGGCCGGGTAGCCTATCGGTTGGAGTTGCCAGCAGAGTTGGGGCAGATCCACGACACTTTTCATGTGTCGTAGTTGAGGAAGTGTATAGCCGATGAATCGGCAGTGGTTCCATTAGAGGATATTCAGGTGGATGCAAGCCTGAATTATGCCGAGAGACTAGTGGCCATCAGAGATCGGAAGATCAAGGTTCTAAGGAATAAGGAGGTACCTCTGGTGTTGGTTCAGTGGCAACACCGGAGGGGATCGGAGATGACCTGGGAGCCAGAGCGTATGATGCAGGAGCAGCATCCGGAGTTGTTTTCAGAGCGAGACTTCGAGGGCGAAGTCTAGTTCTAGTGGGGGAGAGTTGTAACAGTCGGATTTTCAGGTATCTTGTATATTTATGTTTTTGGTGTTTTGAGAGGGGACTCGGTGAGTTGGAGCTCAGACTCACCGAGTAGGGTCACGGATCTAGTCGCGGGATCGCGCCTGGACTCGGCGAGTCCAGGATATGGACTCGGCGAGTCAGCGTTGTGTAATGAAACCCTAATTTCTCAGGTTTGGGACCTATTTAAAGGGTCTTATGGCCGTCATTTGTGCTCACCAGTCCCTTGAGTGAAACCCTAATCGAGTGTGAGCGTTTGGAGCAAAGTAGAAGGCCATTATTGATCTTGGAGGTGTCATTTTTGCAAGGAAGGAGAGAACTAGCTAAGGGAAAGCAAGTGAGCCACTTCTGAGAGTTTGGAGTCCAGAGCATCACTATTGTGGTAATAATTTCGAGTTATCTTCTTCCTTGTTGATGTTTATTTTGATTTAGGGTTTGTTGAACCCTTTTGTGGCAAGATCTAGTGCCCCCTTGGTCCCTTATGTGGTTTAAACCATAGATCTGGACCCTTGGAGGTCTAGAGTGTCCCTTTGCCCATGCTTTTTGGGAAGAAATGGAGGTTTTGGATTGGAATCCTTATGCCTTAGGTCAAAACTCTATTTATGAGCTATAGGGTGTGTTATGGGCACCGAGATAGAAGCTTTACGTGATGAATTAGTCTAGGGAGGCCAGATCTATAGATTGTGGAAACAGATCTGACCTTAGAAGAAAGTTGGAGTGGTTGCATGGCATGGACTCCCCGAGTCTGTTCATCGGACTCGGCGAGTAGTTTGAAGATTGCCTTGGGTTCGCTCAGTGAGTGATCCAATCGAGTCATGGGTTGACTCAGTGAGTCAGGGTGAGTTGGAGAGGGACGCCAGGTGGACTGAGTCGAACTGGGACTCGCCGAGTTGTTCTTGAGACTCGGCGAGTTGGGTCGGGGTGGCCCCGCGATTCTTCCAGATGAAACTCGTCGAGTGGGGGGGGGGGAATACTCAACGTGTAGGAAGGGAATTTTAGAGAGTTGGTCAAAATGTCTCGACTCGTCGAGTCGCCATAGCGCACTCGCCGAGTCCGGTCAAAGTTGACCGTTGACCGTTGACCGAAGTTGACTTGTGTTGACTTCTTAGGGATAGTCAACCTTAGAAGATATAAAGTGTTAACTAGAGACATATGATGTTATAGGAGGATTAGAGCTTGGAGGATCGAGCACGAGGGATTTCCAGGATTCGTGAGATACCGAGATACGCGAGGTGAGTCTTCTCACTATACTTTACCTTGAGTAGGTAACCAGAGTTATATGATAGAGTATTTGTATGCTATGTATGTTATGTGTTGTACTGCATTATTTCTATGTGATTTATGTGGTGCATGTTTATCAGAGCTAGAACCTGAGGGTTCACAGAGTTTGGGTGCACGGACCCACAGAGTTATAGCCTCGAGTGGCTAATATGTGTTATATGTGGTATTTTGGGGAACTCACTAAGCTTTGTGCTTACAGTGTTTGATGTTATTGTTTCAGGTACTAGTGACGACCGCGGGAAGGCGCCGGCTTGATCCGTACACACACACACACACAGAGTTTTTACATTTGTGATCTTGGGATTTTGTATTGACTGGAATTGGATAATTAATATGGTTGTTTTATGAATATTAATTGAATTATGTTTTATGAAAAATTGAAAATTTTGTTTTGAAATTTACGGTGTTACAAATAATATACCTGAAATTCTGGATGTTACAGCAGCAAGGAAAATGTGTGATCATACCACTCCTCACTTTTTATGACTTTGTTTCTGGGAGACTCTGATATAGACTATTTTGAAACCGAGTTTGTAATAACTCTTGGTTTTTAAATGTTTTAAAAAGTTTAAATTTGGCATGATTTTTATGGGTGTTACATGGATATTAAGAATCTACGTGCATGCTACAAACTTTTATGCAAGAAGAATGTTCAAAGGAATGTACTTTAAGTTTGAGACTTCGCTTCCTTGGAATTGTTTTGTTATCATTCTCTAGTGGAAAGTTTTGTAATTTCATTGTCCAAGTGTATGTGACTTTAGTGCATTGACAATACAAGAAGATCATTGCAGAAAGGTTAGAACCTAAAACATTCTAATAGTGGCAAGAATTTGGCATTCTTACACTTTTGATAAAGATTTGGAATTGTGAAATGAGCTTCATTGAAAAATATGTTCAATTGATCTATTTCACAAATGAAGGACTATAGGTAAACATAATGTGCATGCTTGGAGCATGGGATAACTATTGTTTTAATTCAAGTATTAAGTTGATTGATTGAAACATTATACAATGAATAATATGTAATCAATATGGTGATTAAATAAAAGGTGTTTTATTTATATTCATAAGTTCTGAGACTATATTGGATTCGATTATTCTTGTGTTTCACTTTTCATGTTTTGACTTCCCGAATAACTAGGTTATTCAAACTATCCATAGTCGATCATACTTTGGAAGTATGTATTGAAGCAACACTGTCATGAATGGGTCTGTAGATAGTCTAAAGGCGTTTAGACATAGCACAAGTTTGCTGCAGTGTTCATGAGTACTCCTGTAATAAGATTTGATTATTGGATTAAAATCACGCTCATTTAAATCACTTCATGGATTTTATCACGAGTGATCATGAGACAATAATATCTTATATTCTTGAAACCAAGACATGTGAGTTGTAGTTTACAAGTCGGTTGCACATTGACATATGTAAACGCACCAGTAACTTGGTGTTATAAAACATATTGATGTGTGTGATTTGATGAGTAAGTACAAACAAGCATTTGATTCGAAGTTTATCCATTCCTTTTACTCAAAGTGGATAAAAGCGATATTTATGGGCCCCTCGATGATTTAGTGATGACAACCTTAAGCGCTTGGACAAGCCTGGAATGATTTGATTTGTTTAATTAGTCAGTCGTCATAAATCTAAAATCGGGAAACAACATATGAACAAAGAGAATGATTATTATCCATGTCTCAGTCCATACGATATCTAGAATGGAGGAATATATGATCAACTACAAGAAAAATACCATTTAATGACGCGCAAACAATAACACTTGCTGATTTATGATACAAATTTTTGTGTGACCTTAAAAATAATGTCTACCTTCCAAAATTTGAAGGATAGAGAACACGTATTTTTGCGTGCCTTAAAATTAATGTCCAAAAAAAAAAACGAAGGACACTTGTTTTAAATGTGTGTCTTCTAGAAATGTCACTTTTTATTTTTTTTATCAAACACACGTTTTTAAGGGGCAAAAATGAAATCCTCTGAAATTCTAAAATTTTGAAGTGCCCGCTTCTTCTATCTCTCCGTATCTCCCTTCATTCACTCATTCCTAGGGCTTTTTCAAGAACCATTCTACCTAGGGCTTTTTTAAGAACCATTCTACCTAGGGCTTTTTCAAGGAAGTTCAAAATGCTCTCCGATTCTCGATCGGTTCTCCCATGCCTCTGCAACAATCGACGATCTCACTTCACGCTTACTTCTTCTCCGGTGAGCATAGGATCACCTCCCCGCGTCCATCCTCCTCGTCATAAAATCATCCAACTAGGGATTTTGTTTCTCGATCTCTTCAGGTCCGTCCTCCCAAAATAAGGAAGAAACTAGTTTGATTTCTCCCCTAAAACCTGGTACGAATTCTCCTAATTCCAACTTCACTCTTCACTTTTAGGTTATCGGCTCAAAAACTTCTCCCTGAAACCTGGTTTGATTTCTCCAACATTCCAACGAACCTGTTTTTCAAAAAGAAACCCATATGGGAGTTTGTTTTCTACCTTATCCCCATGTCAGAGTTCAATTTCTGCCATATCCTCATAATTTCTAATTAGCGCTTTTGAACCATTCACATGTTGAAGTTCAGAAATCAGAGGTTCAAGGTAAAATTGGTGCTACAGATTGATTGCTTTGTATTTTTCAAAAGGGAACAATGAGAAAGATCCAATGAAGATGACTACATACCACGGTAAGTAGAAAATATTAAAGATAACGTTTCTCATTTTACCAACTTTTCTTTCTGTTTAAAGCCAATGTTCATGTATGCATCTGAAGTAAGCTCTTTCCCAGGTAGGTTAATCACCATTTGCACTAAGCTTTCGGGCTTACAGTTGTGGATTAATGTTTTTCAGGTTCGTCAGGAGACTGTGGCAAGGCAAAGGCGTGATCGTACCGCTCGTGTTTATGTTTTATGAAATGGACCTGGGAATACTCTGATTATATTGAAAACCTTTTTGTAACAACTTAATGAATTGGGATGTTTTTGAAAAGTTTAAATTTTATTAAAATTTTGGTCGTTACAAAATGAAAATGTAAATTTATATATTCTTTTTTATAAATCTTTTTAGATTTTATAAAAAAAAAAATTGGCTGTGGGAAAGGTCAATTACATATGGAAATGAAAGCCGAAAATGTTGACACTCTTGCATCCCGTTTTAACGCCACATCTGGTTAACTGCAGCTGAGTCGCCTCTTCAAACTTTGAAGCTATCTTGGATCGAAGGTTGGGCATTTATTGCATTTGTAACCTTAGGGTGTCTGCAATAGAAATGTTTGAGGTATATTCACTGATGTTTTTTTCATAAAAAATTTAGACCATTGTTATGGTTGTCAATCTCAAACTCGTTCTTATTTAATAATTTTTTTAGGGCCTTCCTCCAAGATCAAATGTGATAATGCAGATTATATTGCAGCATGGGACCATATACTGATCCCTGTTGCAAGAGAATTTAAATGTTTACGTACTCCATGGTCATGGCTACCAAGTACTCCATGATCATGGCTACCAATTTGGAGTCTTATTACCATATGTGTCAACTTACACATCCTTTTTTAAAAGCTTCTGGAGCTGGAAACATTGTTTTGATTTCATCTGTTGCAGGTCTTGTTCACGTTTCTGTTGGGTTTGTTTATAGTGTCACCAAAGGTATGGTTTGTTTGGCTCCATATTTTATATCTGATTTCATCTGGAAACAACTAGCTATTGTATCTATTCAGACTAGGCTTAGAGCAATGGTTGCAAGAGATGAGTTCAGAAGAAGAAGAAACACGGTTGCAACTATAGTTCAGGTACTATGGATGAATTATGTTTGTAAAGTATTTAAGAAAATGATTAGAAACAAGGGTGAATTTGTACAGATTAGTTAGCTACTTGCAGGTTGATCTTGAATAAGAAAATGGGCAATGGATTGTATTTTTTGTATCTAATTTGTTTGTAAATTTTTGTTACAACTTCTATTAATTTGTTTTATCTTTCCATGAAACGATTATTTGTATGACATTAAATTTATGCAATGGATTCTATTTTTTGTATATGATATTGTATTTTCTATTATGAAACATTAAATACAAATTTAATTTGAAAATAAGTAAATCTATAAATAATATTTTTTTTAAACATTTAAAAATATGATACGCAAAAATGTGTGTCGTCTTCATTTATGACATGACATTTCTTGATACGCATTACGTGTCATTAAAACGCACGTCGTAAGGTTGCGACACGCGAATGCGTGTCGTTTTTCTTTATGATAGGACCTTCCTTGATATGCATTGCATGTCGTAAATGAGCATCGTGAATGCGCGTCGTCTCTCTTTATGACAGGGCCTTCCTTGATGTAACACCGTGAATTTCAAACAAAATTTTCAAATTTTCGTAAAACATAATTCATTTAACATTCATAAAACAACCATATTAATTATCCAATTCAATTCAATACAAAATCCCAAAATCACAAATGTATAAACTCCGTGTGTGTGTACGGATCAAGCCGGCGCCTTCCCGCGGTCATCACTAGTACCTGAAACAATAACATCAAACACTGTAAGCACAAAGCTTAGTGAGTTCCTCAAAATACCACATATAACACATATTAGCCACTCGAGGCTATAACTCTGTGGGTCCGTGCACCCAAACTCTGTGAACCCTCAGGTTCTAACTCTGTAAACATGCACAACATAAATCACATAGAAATAATGTAGTACAACACATAACATACATGGCATACAAATACTCTATCACATAACTCTGGTTACATACTCAAGGTAAACTATAGTGAGAAGATTCACCTCGCGTATCTTGATAAGTCGTAAGTCCTGAAATCACTAGCGCTCGATCTCCCGAGCTATAGTCCTCCTAAATCACAATACCACTCTAATTAACACTTTCCCCAACTAAGGTTGGTTACTCCTTGACAAGTCAACAAAAGTCAACCCTGGTCAACGGTCAACGGTCAACTTTGACCGGACTCGGCGAGTGCATATAGCGACTCGGCGAGTCTGAGCGTATATACTAATTTCCTGAAATCCTCCCTTGACACGTCGAGTATTCCCTTAACACGACGAGTCCCTCCTGGCATGAGTTGTGGGGCCACCATGTCTCAACTCACCGAGTCTCAAGAACAACTCGGCGAGTCCAACTTGACTCAGTCCACCTGTCCAATCTGATTCCCCCCCCTGACTCACTGAGTCAACCCTTCCCGACTCGGCAAGACCACACGCTGTATGATCGGGCAACATTCATATTACTCGCCGAGTCTGTTCTTCGGACTCGGTGAGTCCGTGCCATGCAATGACTAAAACTTGATCATAAGGTCAGATCCGGTCCATTAACCCACAGATGCAATCCCTCCAAGCTTATTTAGCACGTAAAGTCACTATCTTGATGCACATACAATCTCTATATGACCCTAAATGATGTTTTTGTCTCAATTTCAATATCTCAAGGCCATGAACTCAATTGCTATACATAAAGCTGGAAGAGGGAGGCTCTCTGGACCTCTATGGATCCAGATCCAGAGTCTCAACACAAAAAGGGGACTATTTGGCATCAAATCATTCCATAAATGTCCATAAGAAACCCTAGATCTCCCTATGCTCCACAAATCAGAAAATGGATCGAATTCATACCTCTAGATCGCTGCTCTAAGCTTCAAATCCACTGAATAGCAGCCTCCTTTGCTTCCTCTTGCTTAGATCCTCTTCCTTCTTTGCTAGATCACACACAAGGTTAAATAAGCTCCCTCTCTCTCTCTCTCTCAAAACGTTCCAGCTCTCAAGGGTTTCTCTCTAAGGGTTGGGTGATCACAAATGACGGCCATAAGGCCCTTTAAATAGGCCGCAAACCCCGGAAATTAGGGTTTCATCACACAGCATGGACTCACCGAGTCCACTCTTGGACTTGTCGAGTTCGGACGCGAACACGCACCCAAATCCGTGATCCTACTCGGCGAGTCTGGGCTCTGACTCGCCGAGTCCACTCACAATTTCCATAATTAAGTCCAAAATAAATACCTAAAAATTCCGGGCTGTTACAACTCTCCCCCACTAGAAATAGACTTCGTCCTCGAAGTCTCACTCTGCAAATAACTCTGGATGCTGCTCTCGCATCTCACGCTCCGATTCCCACGTCATCTCGGACCCCTTCCGATGCTACCACTGAACCAAGACCAAAGGTACCTCCTTGTTCCTCAGAACCTTGATTTTTCGATCCCTGATGGCCACTGGTCTCTCAGCATAATTCAGGCTCGCATCCTCCTGAATATCGTCTAATGGAACCACTGCCGACTCATCGGCTATACACTTCCGCAATTGCGACACATGGAAAGTGTCGTGAATCTGTCCCAATTCTGTCGGCAAATCCAAGCGATAGGCTACCCTGCCTACCCTCGCGATTACCCGAAATGGTTCGATATATCGAGGCCCCAATTTGCCCCTTTTTCTGAATCGGATCACTCCTTTCCAAGGAGAGACCTTCAGGAGCACAAAATCACCGACCTGGAACTCAAGCTCAGACCGACGTCTGTCCGCGTAACTCTTTTGCCGACTTTGTGCAGTCAGTAACCTCTGTATGACCTGCTGGATCTGTTCTGTCGTCTGAAGTACTATCTCCGTGTTGCCCATAACACGCTGCCCAACTTCTCCCCAGCAAATGGGGGTTCGACACTTCCTCCCGTACAACAGCTCAAAGGGCGGCATACCAATGTTCGAATGATGGCTGTTGTTGTAAGAAAACTCGGCCAAAGGCAAATACATATCCTAACTTCGCCCGAAATCCAATACACATGCTCGGAGCATGTCCTCGAGGGTCTGAATTGTCCGCTCACTCTGTCCGTTGGTCTGGGGGTGATATGCGGTACTAAAATACAACCTAGTACCCAACTCCTCATGGAACTTCTTCCAGAACCTGGAAGTGAAACGCACGTCACGGTCGGAGACAATCGAGATCGGCACCCCATGCCGAGACACCACTTCCCTCACATATATCTCTGCTAACTTCTCCCCAGACGAACTCTCACTGATGGCAAGAAAGTGAGCACTCTTCGTCAATCTATCTACAATCACCCAAATTGCATCAACTCCTCGAACAGTCCTTGGCAATTTGGTGATGAAATCCATGGTGATCTGTTCCCACTTCCATTCGGGAATCTCCAACGACTGCAACTTACCATGCGGTCTCTGATGTTCGGCCTTAACCTTACGGCAGGTTAAGCACCTCTCAACGAACCACACAACATCTCTCTTCATACAAGGCCACCAATATTCTTTCCTCAAATCTAGATACATCTTAGTTTTCCCGGGATGGATCGAGAACTTCGACCGATGAGCCTCTTCCATCAAAATGGCACGTGCACCTCCCACGAATGGTACCCAAATACGCCCCTGGAAAGTCATAAGCCCCCGAACATCGGTAACAAATTCTGATATCAAACCAACAACTCGTTCTCTCTTCTGGTTTTCCGACCTCATTGCTTCAGCCTGTGCTCCTCGAATGGTGTTCAACACCGGAGTCATCACGGTCAACCGTAAACATACACCTCGCAACGGGGCACTCTCTGCCCGACGACTCAGGGCGTCGGCTACCACATTAGCCTTTCCCGGATGATACAAGATCTCACAATCATAATCCTTAACCACATCCAACCACCTCCTCTGTCGCATATTCAGGTTGGGCTGATCCATCAAATACTTCAGACTCTTATAGTCAGTGTAAATCGTACACTGAACCCCATACAAATAATGGAGCCAAATCTTGAGGGCAAACGCCACTACCCCCAACTCTAGGTCATGGGTGGGATACCTCGACTCATGAGGCTTCAACTGCCTCGACGCATACGCTATCACATGCCCTCTCTGCATCAATACCGCTCCCAACCCCAAAATCGATGCATCGCAGTATACGACAAAATCCTCCATTCCCTTCAGGAGCGCTAACACCGGGGCCTCGCATAACCTTTGGCGAAGCGTCTCAAAGGAGACCTGCTGCTCGGGGCCCCATGAAAAAGCAACACCCTTCCGGGTCAACCTAGTATGCGACACTGCGATCTTAGAAAAATCCCTGATAAATCTCCGATAATAACCGGCCAACAATAGAAAACTCCTGATCTCGGAGGGTGACCTCGGCACCTCCCAACTCATCACTGCCTCCACTTTGGCTGGATCGACCAATATTCCATCCTGGTTGACAAGATGTTCAAGGAACTGAACCTCTCATAACCAGAAATCGCACTTGGAGAATTTTGCATAAAGCCTCTCCGATCTCAGAACTCCGAGGATATCCCTCAAATGCTCCTCGTGCTGCTCCCTAGATCTCGAATATACCAGAATGTCATCAATAAATACGATCACCGACCGATCCAATATCGGCCTGCATAACCGGTTCATGAGATCCATGAACACTGCCGGGGCATTGGTGAGCCCGAAAGGCATCACCACAAACTCATAATGCCCGTAACGCGTCCTAAACGCTGTCTTCTGGACGTCCTCATATCGTACCCTCACCTGATGGTATCCAGACCTCAAATCGATCTTGGAGAACCAAGATGCTCCCTGCAACTGGTCGAACAAATCGTCGATCCTCGGCAACGGGTAACGGTTCTTGACCGTCGGCTTGTTCAATTCTCGGTAATCAATACACATTCGATGTGAACCGTCCTTCTTCTTTACAAACAGAATGGGCGCTCCCCATGGCGAGCTACTCGGCCAAATAAACCCTTTCCCCAGCAGCTCCTGAAGCTGCGAGGATAGCTCCTGCATCTCTGGAGGTGCAAGACGATAAGGCACCATAGCAACAGGCACGGCCCCTGGGACGAAATCAATACTGAACTCTACTTGCCTCACGAGAGGCACCCCCGGAAACGCCTCTGGAA